CTAAGTATATAGTGTTATGAATTTTCTTCTTAGTACTGCTTTAGCTGCATCCCACATATTTTGTTATGTTTTCATTTATATTTAGTTCCATGTATCCTTTTAATCTCCTTTGAGATGCCTTGTTTGACACATAGATTATTTAGAAGTGTGTTCTTTAGTTTTCAAGTGTTTTAAGAGTTTCCTGTTGTCTTTGTTAGAGATTTTCAGTTTAATTCCATAATGTCCAGAGCACATGATGCCAATTATTTTACAATTGTCAAGTTTGTTTTACTATACATTTTATGTCTTTTTCTATTTGGTGAATGTTGCATGGGCAGTTGAGAAAAACATATTGTTAGATGGTATGTCTTATAAATGTTAATTAGACCTTGTTGATTAATTGTGTTGCTCAGATTTTCCATATACTTGTGATTTTTCTTCTTCATAGTTCTAGTAGTTACTGGGGAAAGGGGAGAATGATGTTGAAGTTCCCAACTCTAATTATAGAGTCTTTTATTTCTCATTTCAGCTTTATCAATTTTTGCCTCAGCTATTTAAGGCTCTGTTGTTTCGTTTGTACATATTTAGTATATAGTGTCTTCCGACTGATCCTTTTATCATTAAATAATATTCCTTTTTGTCTCAGTGATTTTCTTTGCTTTGCCGTCTACTTTATCAGACACTACTATTGCTACTCCTGCTGGTTTTTTTTTTTTTTTTTTTTTTTTTTTGACGGAGTTTTCGCTCTTGTTACCCAGGCTGGAGTGCAATGGCGTGATCTCAGGCTCACCGCAACCTCCGCCTCCTGGGTTCAGGCAATTCTCCTGCCTCAGCCTCCTGAGTAGCTAGGATTACAGGCATGTGCCACCATGCCCAGCTAATTTTTTGTATTTTTAGTAGAGACGGGGTTTCACCATGTTGACCAGGATGGTCTCAATCTCTCGACCTCGTGATCCACCCACCTTGGCCTCCCAAAGTGCTGGGATTACAAGCTTGAGCCACCGCACCCAGCCTCTCCTGCTGTTTTTTAAAAAAGTGTTAATGTATATGTGATATATCTTTTGCCACCCTTTTTATTTTCAACTCACCTGTGTTTGAACTTAGAATGAGTCTCTTATATGCAGCATATAGTTGGATTATAGGTGGTTTTTAATTTGTTCTACCAATCTCTTTTAATTGGTGTATTTAGACCATTTACATTTAAGATATTTACTGATACGGTAGCACTTTAGTCTGTTATTTTGTTATTTATTTTCTATTTGTCTCTTCTGGTTCTCATCACTTTTTTTTTTCTTGCCTTTCTGCAGTTTATTTAAACATGTTTTAGATTCTATCTTGATTTAGTTGTAATACTTCTGAGTTTGTCACTTTGTATAGTTTTCATATTGGTTGCTCTGGGTGTTACACATGGCTACTTGTAACAATGTACTGATACCATTATTTACCACTTCAAATGAAGTGTGGAAACCTCACTTCCATTTAGGTCCCTTTGGCTTCCCCACCTTTAAATATCACTGTTTTGAATTTCAGATGTTGTTACAATTTTTGTTTCAATCATAAAATATGATTTCTAAAACCCATAAGGAAAAAAAATTGTCTATTATATGAACCCATATTTCTGCTCTATTGTTTCTTCTTTTTTCCTGATGTTCTAAGTTTCCTTCTTTTATCATTTCTTTGCTGTTTGAAGAACTCCCTTCAGCTAGTCTTTTAAGGGTAGATCTGCTAGTCACAAAATCTTTTAGTTTTCATTCATCTGTGAATATTTTATAACCCTTCGTTCCTAAAAGATAGCTTTGCCAGATCTAGAATTATAGGTGACAGTTTCTTTCTTTCATCACTTAAAAAATATTTGGCCACTTCCTTATTCATGGTTTCAGATAAGAAATCCATTCAAATAGGTGTTCCCCTACTACAAGTAATGCACTATTTCTCACTTGCTGCTTTCAGGACTTTGTCTTTAGTTTTCAAAAAATTATAATGTGCCTGGGCATGGATTTTTTTTTTCTTCTGTGGGAATCATCCAGCTTCTTGAATCTCTAAGTTGGTGTCTTTCATCTAATTTGGAATGTTTACAGTCTTATTTCTTCAAATACTCATTAATCCCTACTCTTTTTCTTCTTTACTTTCTGTTACTCCAATAATATGAATGCCGGATATTTTGTTATTGTTCCATAGGTCCTTGAGGTCTGTTTATTTTTTCTGGTATATTTTCGATTGTTCAGATTGGGTAAATTCTATTGTTCTATCCCAATTTCACAGATTTTATCTCCCATCATCTCTACTGTATTATTAAGCCTATCCAGTGAGTTTTCAGTTTGTTATTGTATTTTTCAGTTCTACAATTTTCATTTGTTTCCTTTTGATAAAACTTCTATTTTTCTGAGGTTTTTGGTTTTTTTCATTTGTTTCAAGAGAATTTATAATTGATTATTGTAGCATTTTTATGATGTCTGCTTTAAAAATCTTAATAGACAATTACAATATCTGATTTATCTCAGTGGTAGAATCCACTGATTTCCTTTTTCATTCAAGTTGTGATTTTACTGGTTCTTGATTTGTACTCTGAACATTTTGCCTATTATGTAAGGAGACTTATTTCTATTGAAATATTTCGTTTTATAAGGAGTCAATCTGTTAGGTTTAGCATACAGTTTTAGCCTACTTTTGTGGGCTGTAATTCTAACTATAGCTTAATTTTCAGAGCCCTTGTAGTGTTATTTTGGTTGTTTGGTTTATCTAAGGCTCCCACTGGTCTCTGTTAGTGCTGCCTGAAAGGGCAGGAGGAATTTTCTGGCTGGGTTGCCAGATATCTCTTGGTGAGGGCAGGCTATGATAAATCCTGCTGTTGCCTCTAGCTGCCCAGATTTCTCTGGGTCTGGGAGGAGAGTCTTGCTTCCACAAAGACACTTCTGTGATCAGGTGGCTGGCTTCAGGAACGCTGGCTGTGACAGGTCCCTTTTCCTGGTTCTACCAGCCAATCCTAGTATCTCTGGGCAGGAGAGGAGAGTCTCAGGCCTGTGCAAAAAGGCTTCCCCAACTGGACCACCTATTTTTCCTGGGTTCTCTTACTGGCTCCTCCTGTCCACCTCAGTATCTCTCCTTGGAAAAGTGGAGTTTCTGACCCAGCAGGGAAGAAGGGTGCTTCCCCTGGTTACTTATTTTTTGTAGGACTCCCAATCAGTCCCCTTGCCTGAGGTTGTCAGAGGGACTCCAATAGGTTCAGGGGAAAGAATAAGCTTCTGGGCTACCTTCTGTTTCTAGATGGAAAGTCAGGAAACACCTGATAGTTAGGGGGATATAAGGTGCCCTGCCTCTGTGCTGCTCTTCTGGTCCTGGGTTTTCAAACCAGCTCAACTTCTTCATACTCTTCAGAATTCTCCTTTGGTTTTCTCTTGTACCATTTCTAACATTTATTAAGTTGTGCTTAGCAGGGCATAGCAGGGGACATGGGGTAATGCCATCTTGTCCAGGCCAGAAGTCTCTCACCTACTGAATGTTATGTCTACATTATCTGTTTAATATAAATATAGGTATGTTTTTGCTAATTTAGATCCAATTACATATGAATAATAAAAAATCCCAGAGAAGACTACCTAATGCAGAAATTTAACCTATTTTTTCCACATGTAATTAATGAGATTGGGGGAAAATTGAGGTGTCAATAAATAGGATCTAAAGTGAGCACATAAGGATACTGCTGAGGATCATACACACACATTCTCCTCCACTCAGGCCATCTCCTTCCAATATGCTCAGGGTGGATCTCTATATGAAGCATAGACGGATTCACAGAAGCCTCCAAAGAGGCTGAGAAAAATGGGAGGAGGAAAAAAAAATGAGAGGAGGTGGTAGAGCCTATTATAGGGACAATACAGTTCTTTCTTCCTGGGGCTGACTGGCAAGACCTGCCTGGATGCTTCTGCCTTGGTAATCTCAACTCTGAAAGGCTGAGTAGTGCCAGGAGAATGGTAGCTCCAGAACTCCCTAGGTTGATTGGGCTCTTCTCTGAGCTATGGTGGTGAATGCGGCTTAATCCAATCAAATGCACCAAAGTAGAAAAGCAGATATTTATTTCGAGCAGCATCCTCAGCTTGGTATGTTTTCTTTCTTTCTTGTTTATATACTATGTTGTTCCCAAGAAGGATATAAAGTGACTTCAATGATTTTATAATATATATGAAAATATAAATTAGATACATGAGTAAAAAAGAACAAGAAGAAAACAAGGCACAGGAATAAGGCTGGTGCAAAACTGCTTCTCTGTGATTTTTCTACAGTTATAATAAAGAGTCCATGAGTGGCACATAGCTGGAATATTTCCTGTGCCATCTCTGACTAGAACCTCAGGACTGGGCATGGAGATGGCAGGATAAACTCCTAACAAGAAAGGACCCTCAAGACATGCCATAGAGGAAGACACATTCCAATGGGAATTTCTCTATAATACTCCATAGATTTCCTCTTCCTAAAACATGTTTGTTTTCTTCTCAAAGATTTCCAGGTTCTCACTTTGAGAATGGCCTTGGTTTTGGGCAGTGTAATCTACTGAAAGACTCAGGCTACTAAGTTCCTGAGAGATCACATTCCAGTTAGGGTCCATTACAAGTCAGAGACTATATAAATACACAAGAGAGCAAGAACCAAGCCTAAAACTACAGTTAGTAATTCCTCAAACTCTTACTTTTTTGTTTTTTGGCTTTGGGTTTTTTTTTTTTTTTTAAGAGATGAGGACTTGCTGCTCTATTGCCCAGCTTGGAGTACAGAGATGTGATCATGGGATCCTGGCTCATTGCAGCCTTGAACTCCAGGGCTCAAGGGATCCTCCTGTCTTGGCCTCTCAAGTAGCTGGGACTACAAGTGCATGCCACTGCATCCAACTAATTTTTTTTTTTTTTTTTTTTGCAGAGATGGGGTCTCACTATGTTGTCCAGGTTGGTCTTGAACTCCTAGCCTCAAGCAATCCTCTCATTTTAGCCTCTCAAAGTGCTGGGATTACAGGTATGAGCCACTACACCCAAGTTCAAACCCTTGTATTTAAAATTCTTCTTTTTGATTCTCAGAATCTAAGCCAAAATTGTTAGATTCAGACTTGCAGGTCCTAAGTCAGCTGGAAATCTAGGTGATGCTGATGACACATAGGAGCCAAGAAGTAGCCACAGAAGTTGTACTGTGCTTGGTGACTAAATGACCACACTCCTTCCACTATGAGAGCTGTCTTTCTCCTGGAGAATAGAAGAACACATACAAAAAAACACCCAGTCAGTGTAATCTGTCTTTGCATTTAACACATAAGTTACGCTTGATTCACAAATACTAAGTGAGTAGTGGCTATCAGGACAGCAGATCTGAACCTAAAACATATTTCTTGACTCTTCACGAAACCAATCTCTCTCTCCAGGCTTAGGTTTTTCTTGCTTTCCTCTCTAGAGACTCCCTCAAAAATATCTTCAAGTCTCCCTTAGACTGAAAAAGGAGTACCTTGTTCCATTCCTCAGTCTGTCTCTCTCCCATTCATCCATGAAGACACTGCTCAATTCTCTTTTACCTTTTTATAATCTCCTGAATCATTCCTTCCCAGCCCTTTTCTAAAAAGTTTGGCTTTAAGCCTCAGTATTTCTCTGAAATCATTTTTTAAAGATCACTAATTACTTCTTCCTAACCAAACTCAGAAGTTTGGTTTTTTTTCAGAAGTTATTCCACTCCACTTGGTCTTTGGGCTTTTTCCACTTCCTCTATAAGGGTTAAAAACTGTGGTTTACATTTCTCATGTTTCTCTAGTTACGGTAGGGGATCATTTTATTTAGGTCTTGAATATTTACTGTTGTGGTCCATGAATATAACCATCTTCATCTTATTTGAAACAGGAAGACAAGGTATCTGTCCTAAAATATACTGCCCAAAAGGGATCACATATATATACATTCATGTTGCTATAAAAAAAAGTTTTCGATTTATCAGGAAAGTGAGTTTTAGGGGTCATGATTTCTAATCAAAATACTGCATGACAAATGTTCTCTGACATAAATGAAAACAATGAAATGCGGTAAAAGGAACTTGTCCAGGGTTTGCTAAAAGAAAACCTAGATGTGATCAAGGAGTAGACATTTTGTTGAAAGTAGAGAACTAAGAATGCTGGCATAAAACTTTAAGAAATTAAACCAAAAAGTCAAGAAAAAAGCTGGAATTCTCTATAGAAAGTTTGAATTCAGCTTGGAGAAGAAAGAATGTCGTGCTTTTCTCTTACATTAGAACAGGTGTACACAGGCCAAGCAAGAAATGCCTTGAGATACCTTAGGGCAAGGTTAGAAAGAAAGATAATTGATTGGAAGGAGTCCAGGAGCAGGGGCCACTCAGTCTGTAATCACTGAAGGTAAAAGCTTGAAATTTTTACTCCTTATATTTCTGAGGTTATAGCTTCAGTGGAGTGAAAAGGCTACCAGACCTGCCTGAATTGAGAAGATCTTGGCTGAAATCTTGGTTCTAAAGTTGGGTGGAAGATCCTTCAATATAAATGAATTTTCTCATGGGTACTGTGTAACATATAGTTCCTACCTATTTCAGGTTCCCATGAAATCATCTGCATGGAAGCCCTTGTTTGTCAGAATCTATTTGTTAAACATTATCTTGAGAGAGAAGGTTCCACGTGAACAACGAAAAAATTGTTCCATTTATGTTGGTCTAAATACCAAGTAAAGGATTTTAAATAAGCATTTTATAAAAAGTTATGGTAAAGCTGTAACTTCTGAAAGCCTGCTTTAGGAAAATAGTGAGACATCTTATCAACTCAAGCAGTAAACAGGAACTTCCAGTGCTGCGTGATGTAAGGTCACCATCTAGAGGCCCAATTGTATTATGATGTTTCACTACAAGCTCCAGTGACTCCAGAGGCTAGAAAGGCAGCCTGTGTAAGAAGGAGCAGGCAGCCCCAAGGAGAGGAGGGAAGAGCAAGATTTCAGCCCTGGAGACTTTGCCTCAGTAAAGGCATTCAAAATTCAAGTAACAAACAAAACAAACTAAACACCGTGCCCTTCAAACTGAGCAACCTGCCAAGTCAAGCTTTGGTCCTGGGCCTCTGCTCACTGTCAGAATATGAATGGAAAGTTGAATGTGATAAGTGAAGTGATAACTCCTTGGGAGATAAGCTCAAAGAGACTCCAAACAATGGAGGCTTTCACAATTTCTTGTGCAAAATCTTTGCTTCTTGGGAGTAACTTTACAATTGAAAATTTGGCATGTTTGAGGTATGTTAAAGGAAGCTGTGATATTTTCAGAAAATGAGGAAGAAATAAAGTCACCAGAAGATATCATTAACTCCGAATGATAATCTCTCTTTCTCTCTTTTTTTTCATTTTCTGAGTCAGGGTCACATTCTGTTGCTCAGGCAGGAATGCAGTGGTGCAATCATGGCTCACTGAGCCCAGAACCTGGGCTCAGGTGATCCTCCTATCCTCTTGAGTAGCTGAGACTATAGGTACATGCCAGTGCACTTGACTATACTTCTCTCTAAGGAAGCAGCATGAGTTATTGAAAGGGCACAGGCTTAAGAATCAAAACATGATTCAAACTTGAGCTTTGGGCTGTGTGGCTTTGGGCATGCTACTCAACCTCTCTGAGCCTCCCATAGTTGTGAGGATTACGTGAAATAAAGCTTGGGAAGGGCTAATCCAGTGTCTGGAATGTAACTGGTGTTCTTCACCCTTCTCTTACTTACAAGAAACCACATAATTTAGCTTAAAGAAAATAATTTAACTTAGAAGAAAATAGCATGTAGATTTGGGGCCCAAACCTGGACCTGAACTTTTAGTTGTTATTATAATGAAGAGACCTGTTTTAGTCACTGTATGAGTAAAGGACTGTGATTTTCCCAGCTTTGACTGTATTTTCTTTCAGGATGTAATTTTCTCACTGGTAGCATGGAAGAAACAGTTGTATCATCTAGGATAATAGTTCAAAACACACAAGGTTGCTGTGAGGATTAAGTAAGATGCTGTATAAGATGTCTATACCTCAGAACCACTTAGTAAGGAGTAGCTATTTTCACTATTGTTGATCCTTGTTACTCAAGGCACATCTGTGAAAAGATGGCATAATTGCCATTGATTATTACAGAAATGCCTACTGGCTTTTGCTACCTTCATCACAAATCACTCTCTCACCAAGGTTCTGCTCTAGAAAGAGCAGCCCTGTGGGTCTCCTAAGAGGCCTGCTCTTTTGCACACACCATGTATGTGATTGATTTTTTTAAAAACTCAAAGCAGAACATGTACTTCCAAATGAGAGCTGTAACCTTCACAGCCTGTAAGAGACTACAGTTCTTCTTTGATTATATCTCTGTGCTTCAGGAACTTCTTTCAGAGCTACTGCATATACCTTTGACTATCTCAACAGAAGCAAAAGAGAAAAGGATTTTGGTCAAACAGAGAAAAGATCTTCGTGGGTAGCCTGTAAGTTGCTCTGAGGTAGTTTATTGACATTTTTGAGCAATGGCAGCAAATCTTTGCAAAGTGGTAACATTAAAGGAATGCTGCCATTTGGATGTATTAATTATAAAATAATTTTTAAAGTCACTTCCTTAAAAAAATACAAAAGATCTGCATTCAGAGGCCCCAAAGGCCTACATCCTTCTGTGTTCCCCTTTTAACTATGTCTGGCACCCTTTGGCATCTTGCCTATTCACAGAATCCTAATGTTTTGGCCTATATAAGGAATATCAGGGTTTTAAAAATCAGTTTAATGGTCCTTTCCAGGGGATGTCTCAGAGGGTCCCAACCTCACATATACCAGGGCCTTGCATGCTGACTTGACAAGTGTCTTCTGTTAGGCCCGGTGTTCTAATTTGGGGTATGGAAATGGGATGCTAAGTAAAGAAAGCAAAACAGCTGTGAAAGGAGGTGAGACTTTAGCCACAAGCGCCTGCATTCAAGTCCTAGCTCATGGCTCGCAAGGTGCTTAATCATGCTGAGCCTCATTTCCTCCTGTGACCCTGCTTGGCCTGCCCTACAGGACTGTGATGACAACTGAAGCTGAGGATGAGAAGGCCCTTCACAGGCAGCGAACTCTCCCCTGCACTCTGTACTCACTTGATTTCTTTAGCTCTAACAAGAGGTAGCCCACCCAGCCCACAGTGTAATTTGGGCAAAACAGTGAGGAGGTCACCTCTGAGGCAGCATGAGAGGCAGCCTGTGTTGGCTGTGGCCACGCCTGGCTGGAGGGGCCTCTCTGCCCATGCCCGACCCTCAGCAGGATGCCCCAGGCTCACCGAGCGCCTCTCCACACTCCCTTTTTTCCTGTCATTCTTGCCTGGAGTGACATCCAGTGAGCGGTAGCTAGGCGGCTTCTCCTCATGCCAGTGTGGGGTGTGCGAGTGGCGGCGGTGGGCCCCCCAGCCCTGGGGTTGCCTCTCCTTCTCCTCTTCAGAGCTCCAGGAACTAAGGCCGGAGGGCAAGGGAGGGGAATAGCTGCGGTGCCTGCAACGTCTCCTGTGCCTCTGAGTGCTCTCCCGGGGGCTGGGCCTGCGGGGCCTCTCCTGACAGCGGCTCCTGAACGGAGGGTGGCTTGGCTGCCAGTGTGTCTCGCTGGACGAGGGGACGTCACTTAGGCTGTCCCTGTCTGACCAGTGTATGGGTGACCCGTTCAGCCTAGAGCTATGGCGCCTTCCACTCCATGATGGGTCCAGCTCCCTTCTTTCCAATGCCCAAGACTTTGGCCCCTGATTCCAGAGCTCCTGGTGGAAATCAGGGTAATGATGCTGCCTTCTCCCCTCCCTCAGATCCCAGGGCCTGGAGGGAATTGGGGTGAGCCACTGCTGGTGCAGGGAGTCATTGGTCCTCCTTGAAGATGACAGTGGGGGCAGGTGGATTATTCTGCGTTCCACGACCTCGGAGCCCAGGGAGGACAGCATGCTGCAGGGATGGCCGAATCTGGCTTTGAGGTCAGGCGGCAGAGGCTGGGCCAGGTTGAGGTTCCGCAGTTCATTCTCCAAATACTCCAGGACACCATTGGTGATGGGAGGGCGACTGGTGGTCTGGGTCATTGGCATCTGAGGGAGGCTGGACCGCACGGACAAATCTGAATGGAAACAAGGACAGGACATATAGAACAAATGGCCCAAAACATACGCCTCAGAATCAGGACATCAAAATGTGACATTGTTTAGTGTCACTCCCTCCCATCCTCCATCAGGAAGATGCCTGCCATATTGGTCACAGAGGCCTTGATGTAGCCCATGCTTCTGCCCTTGCCCTCTGCCCTCCCCTACCCCAAATCTCTGGAGAATTTTACCTCGCTGCAGCAGCGGGTGCATTGGATAAGATGAAACCTGGGAGCTCCTGTCCGCCCCCCAGTACAGGGGTTTTTCCATCATCTGAGGACCTAGGGCCTGGGCCTGCTTCATGTAGCGGTGGCGGGCCAGGACTGCAGGGGAAGAAGGAGAAATGCAGACCCTCAGCCAGGGCAAGCCCCAAATCTCCTACTTCACTTATCTCCACCTAGGGGACTTGCAAGAAGCCAGCTTCTCTCCTCACCTATCTTGTCCATTTTCACCTATCTTGCATGGGAGTAAGGGCAAAGGAGGTAGTAAATTAAATGCTCCCCCCCACAACCCCGGCGAGGACCTAGAGTTAAATTCTCTTCAAGACTGCAACTTCTGTAACCCAGGAGAGTATATTCTTAAAACTTGACTTCCTAGCCTCAAAATCATTTCATCACCATGCCCACTCCTAAGGTCACCCAAAATGCATAGGTAGATGCATGGATACCATGCATACAATGGTATACATTGTATACCATGCATACAATGAATTATTGGGCCATAGGCCAACAAAACTAAAAGTCAAGGCCAGAAACAGAAGATGTAGATACGAAGGGCTTAGAGGAGGCTGTGAGTCAGGGGCTGGTGGTATCTGTTCAGAATGAAAGAAAAAGGGAAAGACATGATGCTGAAGATAATGGGTAGAATTACTTGGCAATTGCATGGAAGAGTGTTTCTTGCTTACATGCCAACTCTGGTGGGAGAGAATCTGTGGGAAGAAGGCAAGGGCATACAAAAAGCTCAAGTAAATTCCAGTGGGTCCTTTCTTCTCTTCTTCTCGCCTTTTTAAGTATTGAGATTGTCCCTAAGCAGGGGGAATTTCTAAGGGGTGGGGTAGAGGCAGGGAAAGGGAAGAGAAATATCATTTCCTTTTATGGCAAAGAAAATCATACAAAAAAGTAGTAAAAGGGATCCATAGGCACGTCCCTCCAACCCCTTAGGTGGAGGTGGTCTGAGGCATTCAATCCACAGTGAGTACAAATTAAAAAACAAAAGCATTTTGTTGCTTTTGTTCATGCTTTTCTGTTTTGGGGTAGTTGTGGCTGAGTGCCTCATGTTTCCTAAGGGCTCTGCCTATCCATGCATGTTGGACGTGTACCTGTACGTTAAGTGCAGGAAGTGCCAGCCTCAGGCTGTGAATGAGGATAGGCCCCAGCTGGGCATTCTCAGTTCCTCTTTGCTTCCCTGGGCCCTGTGGCTACCCCTAAAACAGCAGGGCCCAGGCCCAGTAGAAGGGGCAGAAAGCTGGCATCCTGAATGCAGCCACATAGCGTGTAGGGTTTGCCAAGGCCAGAGCAAAGTGGCCATCCAGTGGGCTGCCTAGTGATTCCAGTATAAAACTTCCAGCACAACAGGAAGTGGTTGTAACAGAGTCCTCAGAAGGGTTGGGAGCTCCAGCCCTCAGGGTTAGTCACAGCCTTGCCTGGAGGAAATCCGATGCAAACTTGCAGCAGCTCCCCTAGCAGCCACGCCTTCATGCCAACTGATAGCCTCCAGCCTCCTTGAAGACAGGTCCGCAGGCTCAGAGCAGCACTCTCCCTCTGCAGAGATGCCTCTCCCTAGCTCCCTCTACTGGCCACCACCAACAGACACACTGGAATGCCCAGCCTTAACACATAAAATTTACTTCGCATAAGCTAACTAGTTCTCTGAAAAATCTCTTCATGTGGGAATCCGATGAGGAAGTTGGGCTCAGAGAGATTACCTTCCCAGCATAAAGTTCCACAGCTAGTGACTGACAGAGCCAGGGTGTGAACCTGTGAGACGCTCAACCCTTTGCTCTTTAAGGGTGTGCCACGCAACCAAGTCCCCAGACTCCTTTATTTGCTGTGATGAAGCAAAAAACCTTCCCTGCAAGCACCTCCTCAATTTATCTCTCTCTAACTCAGCTCCAGACCTTTCAAAGTCCACTCCAGACTAGTCTCTCCTTCCACGACCTGGGGACATCTGATTCCAAGGAGAACAACCCTACCCACTGTTCCCCTTTAATGTAATTCTCGCTTCTTCCAGATGGTTCTGTTCCCATTTAGCCACTCCTTCTGCTTCCTTCAATCGAGGAGAAAGGCAGAGTTGTGCTTCCTCCTTGCTTCTCAAATGATTTTTTTTCATTAATGTGACTCTCTCCACAATTAACTCCCTAACAACCCTTCCAGATCCTCCATGAGTGTTTCTGACATTTCCCTGAGTTTTTTTCACCCCGTCCAGAGATTAACTCACCTGCTCCCTTAGCTGCCACAATCTTTTTTCCAGGGTCTCACCGTTCCTTGTTGCATAAAACTAATGAAACAGGGATGGAAGACACAGCCTTTGAGCTCTTCTCTTGCCTGCCTTCACCCACATCCCTGAAAACAGCCCCACGGGATGTCTAGACTATCAGGGATATCTGTTGCTCACCTAACAGGGAATCAGATAGGCAGTAAAATAAACTCGGACAAGGCAACAAAGCTGCAAAAGACTTCCAATAAGTTATCTCTTAGCCTCCGTGGAGTAAAATCTGCCTTAGTCACCCTAAATGAGCTTGTTAAAATACAGCTTTCTGAGTCTCACTCCCAGGGACCCTCCTTCCATTGGTCTAATGCAAGGCATGAAAATTTGTATTTTCAACAAGCTCCCTGTTTTAATAATGTAGGAGTCAACTTGGAATTTACTGCTGAGGATTCTCAAATAACACTTTGGTCACCATTCCTTGTGGTCCCCTCTCTACTCTTACAGAACCCATTCTTGCCCTTCTTTTAATCTGTGGTCACTCAGTCTATTTGCTTTCTCCAAAACTAGCGGTCTTCCTTACTTGACAAGTCATTTCTGGGACATCCTCAGCTGCTTCCTAGAATGCCATGCCCCTTTGAACTCTTCTCATTTTAGCTTTAGGAAACTACCAGCAGATGCTTCTTGGTCCCAATCAGGTGACTGACCACAAATAGCCCTCCTCCCAATAGGGCTTTCCTTACTGATCTCTCAAACATGCATTGCCTCCTCTACAGCAGCAGGTTAAACATTCCCCACCTCTTAGGTCTTCCCCTGGCTGTGAACTTTCTGCTGATGACTTCATCTCTATTGACGAAGAGGAACCAGCCCTGAACATGGAGCCAAGAAACCTAGGTTTAGTCCAGGGTCCACTGCTAATATGCCGTAACACAGTAATTGTGGAAAAATCTCTCTTGACCTCACTCCCTCAGCTGTGAGGGGGAAGGGGATGGGGAAGGAGAGATCAGAGACTCTCAGTGTGGCTTGTGGCCTACTGCAGGGCATCCCTGGAGGTTTTCCAGTAAGGAGGGCCAGTAATTGCTCTAGGGATGAAAGCTGTTTCTTCAGTTCTCATGGAAAAAATTTAAAAAGCTGTTTACCACTACTAGGTGAACTATCTAAAATTTGGTCTTATTTTTCATTTTTCTCTCTAATCCTTTTTAAACTCTCACTAGAAAGGGGAGCAGGTTGGGGAGGTGAGATGTGATCAAAGAAATTCAAGAATCACTGGCATTTTTCTTGAAGCTTCCTTCTGCATCTAGAATTTTGATTTGCTGAAATCAAGTCAGGAAGATGTGAGCTCCCTCAGCTTCCTCCTTTAGGTCTTAATCATCTTCCACATTGTAATGACTTCCTTTCTGTCTTCAGAGGCCGGGCTGCTTCCCTTTCCCTTCTGCTCCCTTTCTAAGGCCAGTTCTTTCCCTGTAGGCCTGAGGCCGCTCCTACTAGCTTTGTCACTCATCAGTGACCACTTCCCTTCTTTTTGTTTTTTTTTTTTTTTTTTGAGACAGAGTCTTGCTCCATTGCCCAGGCTGGAGTGCAGTGGCATGCTATTGGCTCACCGCAACCTCTTTCTCCAGGGTTCAAGCAATTCTCATGTCTCAGCCTCCCACGTGGCTGGGACTACAGGCGCCTGCCACCATGCCTGGCTAATTTTTGTATTTTTAGTAGAGATGGGGGTTTCACCTCATTGGTCAGGCTGGTCTTGAACTCCTCCACATGCCTTGATGTCCCAAAGTGCTGGGATTACAGGTGTAAGTCACTGCACCTGGCCCACCTCACTTCTTAATGCTTCATTTTACTCACTTGCTATTTACCTTGGTTCTTTGCTTATAAATATGCTTAGATTACCTTATTCTACAAGCACCAACAATAACCCCTTACTCCTCTAACCAAAGAGCTTTATTTAATAACTCATGCCCTTCCATGTAATTCTTCTTGTCAACAAACTTCTCAGGACAGTCTAACCTAGTGACTCACTTTGAAAGTGACCTCATTGGCTTAAGTTCAGGGATCTTTGTGGTCTACGTTTCTTGATTTTACTATTTTTAAAAAAAATGAACCTAATTACTCAGAAGAAACAACCCTCCCCCAGAACCTCCATTTATTATCTTTTTTTTTTTTTTTGAGACAGAGTTTCGCTCTTGCTACCCAGGCTGGAGTGCATGCAATGGTGCGATCTCGGCTCACCACAACCTCTGCCTCCTGGGTTCAGGCAATTCTCCTGCCTCAGCCTCCCGAGTAGCTGGGATTACAGGCATGCGCCACCATGCCCAGCTAATTTTTTGTATTTTTAGTAGAGACGGGGTTTCACCATGTTGACCAGGATGGTCTCGATCTCTTGACCTTGTGATCCACCCGCCTTGGCCTCCCAAAGTGCTGGGATTACAGGCTTGAGCCACCGTGCCCGGCCCATTTATTATCTTACTAATAAGGGATGCACTTGTCATTTGTGTTAGTTCTGTCCCCAGTCTTGCCTGCTTTTAGTGCCCCATGGACCTAGGGAGTCTAAGCAAGCATCTTGGGTGTGTTTTTCTTATCTCATCCTGCATATTATGACTCCAGTGACAGTGACTTCTCCATGGCCTCCCTCCCTAAGATTTCTGAAAGGTAGGGGGCCCCACAGTCCAATGTTCCATCCTCCGCTACTTTTACCCTCCTATTGTGTCTTAGCCAGTCCCACAGTGATCCACCTACAGAGGCTATGACAGTCTCTGTTGTAGGAATGTAGACTCTCACAAGACAGATGAACATGGATTCATCACCGCACAGCCACTGTTGCTTCCTAATTGTGGGGCTTTTCTGACCTTTGGTCCCCTGTCATTAAACAGGGATGACATCTGCCCTCCAGGGTGGTTGTGAGGATTCAGTGAGGAAATGTATGCAAGGGGCCTACACATCAGACATCCAATAAAAGTTAGTTCTCTTTTCCTGTAAGACAGCAACCTCAGAGCACAGGCCTGAAACCAGACTCAAACACACTGTACACCAGGTTTTGTTTCTATCTTAATAGGTCATTCATTAGTTTTCCCTTAAAAAATTTCCTTTCAAATGGATCAAACTAATAAGAGTGGTTATCTCTGGGTACTCAGAGGAGTCATTACAGTTTGCTGAATTTCTCAAATTTCTACAAGATAGTACTTTATTTAGATCATCAGGAAAAGGAAATGTTATTGAAAACAAAAGCCAAAAATAATTAAAAACCTTCCATTTAAAGCAGTTGGTGCTATTCCACGTATTTGACTAAAAAATATCTTTATAGAATAATTTTGTATTCTTGTGCCTTTATCATGTATTCTGTAGTCAACATTTTTTAGGGCATAATTCAGTTACAGTTCTGTTTTAGAGGATCAGATGTTAGTCCAGGGGAAGATCACATTGAAAGCAAGATCATCCGCTCCCTCTTCCCTTGCCCTAATTCATGGGTTCTCAAAGTGTGGCCCCCACGTCACCTGAGAACTTTTGAGATAAGAAATCAAAATAAAGTTCTAAGCCCTCAAATGACTAACAGACCCTCTCTTGGCCAAGGGGACCCCAGAGAAATCTTGGAAGCTAAGTTCATGGCCGTGATGAGATGGGAGGTCAGACACGCCTCATTATACCCCCTCTCCCACTGACCAGCCCTTTCAAAAGACTCCATGTGATAATATCAGTTACTAGCTTATCTTTCCAGGTACAGAACAAAGACAAGATGAGGTCTAATTCTTCTTTTCCCCTTTTCTAATGTTCACCTTATCTTATGTAAAATGTAGATTTGCTGGGCACTGAAGTTTCACAAGTATATAACCATTTGTTTCATTGCTGCCCCTGACTTCTTAAGGAAAGTATAAATACTGAACCTCCTGGGAACCTCTGAAAAAAAACAGCCACAGATGCATCTGTGACCTGTGTTTTTTCCCTGGGTATGCCCTTAAGCTAAACCTCAGTGATCTGAGTCTTATGCCTCAGTCACTCATTTTGATTGCTAGAGAAATAAAAAAATCTCAGGTCCTACCCCAGACCAGTTGAGTCAGAAAACCTGGAGGTGGCAGCCATAAATTAAGGAGAAAAAAACAAAAACAAAAACAAAAACAGAAATCATCCCCACCTCCTGACCTCTAGGGAAGGGAGAGTGGCTGAAGGTTGAGTTGATTACCGATAGCCAATGACTCAATTAATCATGCCTATGTAATGAAGTCTCCACAAAAACTCAAAAGAACTGGGTTTGAGGAGCTTCCTGGTTGCTGAAGACAGAGATACTGGGAGGGTGACACACCTGGAGAGGACATGGAAGCCCCCCCCCCCACACCCCCACTGACAACATACCTCGCTCTATACAGCTCTTCATCTGGCTGTTCACTTGTATTCTTTTAAATATCCTTTGTAATAAGCAAGTAAACATAAGAAAACTTTTTCCTTGAATTCTGTGAGCTGCTGTAGCAAATTAATTGAACTGGAGGAGACAATCGTGGTAACTTCCAATCTATAGCCAGTGGCTCAGAAGCACAGGTGACAACCTACTAGTTGCAATTGCAATTGGCATATGAAGTAGGGAGCAGTCCTGTGGGACTGAGCCTTCAACCTGTGGGATCTGGTGCTATTTCAGGTAAATAGCATCAGAATTGAGTTAAATTACAGGACATTCAGTTGGTGTCTGCTAAAGAATTCTTTTTTGTGTGGGGAAAACACACACAATTGGTGTCAGAAGTATTGAGTGGCATGTAAGAATAGGAAAAAATAGTGTTGTTTTCCTTTACAAGTGGCCTTCTCTCTTACTGCTTCCTTTAAACCACTCCCTCCAGCCCATCTTATGTCCAAATGAGGTAAATGCTAGAAACAAAGATTGAAGCACAGATATATCAGGACTGCTGAAGAAATGCCATTAGTAGGCAGAGCTATTTGAGAGAGAGGCTTTACGCAGCCTGCAAAGTGAACAGGCAAATGTCCTCCTTTCAGCCACCTTCCATGTGGCTCTTTGGCATCCCCAAGCACAATTTTCAGGGCTGAGGCTAATGTCCTCTGGACCTGTGATGGGAGAGGGTCATGGAGGAGAACCTGGAAGAAACTTTGACCTGGGCACTTGAAGCTAATCTGCTTGGGGTCCTGGGCCCTAGTCCACTCCATTCACTGCTCGTCTGTCCCCTCTCACCTTCTTCAGGACAGCAGCAGCGGGCGGGACAGCAGGGGCAGCGGATGTAGCAGCAGCAATACTGAGGACAGCACTGGCACCAGCACACTCCAATCAGCAGCAGGAGGAGGAGGGCTCCCAGGATGATGAAGATTACTGTCAGCCAGTCTGCAAGGGAGACACCAAGTAGGGGTTGAACTAAATATTCAGGGGGAATACTTCCAGTTCTGATATTTCAGAGGTCTCATAAATACAGCTCTTGAACTACAGGTTAAAGTTGAGCAATATACTGGCAAAAAATTTAAAGTTTAGCTTTGATAAGGGAACATCAGAGGTTGATAATCCAATGACAAGAACTTAGGCTTGCTTATTTCTGTTTTGTTTGTTTGTTTGTTTGTTTTTTTCCTGTAAGTAAGAGTTACAGCAGTGAGGTTGACTGAATAGAGAGCTCCAGTAGCACTTACGCAGGACGATGAGCTTCACCTCCTTATCAGGGTCTCCTGATGTGTCCCCTGGAGCCTCAATGGTGCAGTAGTACACTCCATGGTCCCACCACATCACTTCATTAATCACAAGATCTGCTCCTACACAGTAAGGAGGAAGAAAGTGCCAGTGTCAGAGGAGAGGGCACTGGCTTCTAACCTGTGACAGCCTCAAGACCTGGGCAGCATAGCAAGACCTTGTCTCTACAAAAAATTTTTTAAAAAATTAGCCAGGCATGGTGCCCATGTGCCGATAGTCCCAGCTTCTCTGGAGACTGAGATGGGAGGATCGCTGGAGCCCAGTGTCTTGAGCCCAGCCACTAAAGTCAAGGCTGCAGTGAGCTATGAATGTGCTAATACACTCCAGCTAATACACTCGACAACACAGTGAGATCCTATCTCAAATAAAAGTTAAAATCAAAATATTGTTTAAGTCACTAGTATATGGGGCTTTTACTTACTCGCAGTCAAACCTAATTCTAACTGGTACAGTGGGTTTAATTATTTAGCTGCATTGCAGATAAGGAAAATCAAGACTCAATGGAAGTGGCCTAATAACATACAGAAAATGCTCATCAGAGGTAGGTTCAGGCTCACATCTCTCTGCCTCAAAGTTGATACTGTTAACCACCAAGCTTTCCTGTCTTCTCTAAATTGGGTGAAAAAACTCCACATTCTGGGTCCCTCATCAGCCTAAAATAAGCAGATATCGCTTGATCCTGAAGGACAGGTATGAGATAAACTTGAATAAAGATAAAATGCCAATATTTTAAGAGTAAATGTAACTCAAGGAAAGTTTCAGTTCTTGTGGGCTTTCAATGTTGTATACCTCCATTAGGATAGATGAATGGTTTATATATAATTTCTTTTCATTCGTTTTTTTAAAAAATTTTAAGGTCAGAGGTATATGTGCCAGTTTGTTACATAGGTAAATGTGTGCCATAGTGGTTTGCTGCACAGATCATCTCATCACATAGGTATTTAGAGCTGTTCTTCCTGATGCTCTCCCTCCTATCCCCAGTGTACCCTCCAACAGGCCCCAGTGTGTGTTGTTCCCCTCATGTGTCCATATGTTCTCATCATCCAGCTTCCACTTATAAGATCATCAGGGTGGACAAACAATCTACCGGATGGGAGAAAAATTTTATAATCTATCCATCTGACAAATGTCTCATATCCGGCATCTACAAGGAACTTAAAAGATTAATATTTATGTTCAAGTTTAGTAAAGGCAGCAAACATTCACTAAAGCCCTTTCATGGGTCCAGCACTATGTTAGGCAATGAGGAGATGTAAAGAGAAACAAGACCCTTTTCTGTCCTGAAAGGGTTTAAAATCCAGTCAAAGGCAGCCTCCGTGTAAAGTGCAGCAGCAGTTCCAGCTCTCCGACACAGAGTAAGCACCAGGAAACCTTAATGTTACAGACATTTCTGCTAAGTTGGTGGCAATACCTCTAATTCTTTATTATCTGTTTGTCAAGAAATATTTATTGAGGAAATGAAACAAAAATGCAAGGTCACGCACCACTGGACCTACTTTGACTTCTGTTTCCTTCTCTTTCTACGTCAATCCCTACAATTTTTTCCTACCCACTATTTTCCAAGCCTGCTACCTTTCCCAGAAATAAGCTTACCCTAGACTTAGAAAAATGGTGAAAGTGCTTTTAAAAAATTCCCCCTCAGAGCATGATGTATATTGTAAATCTGGTCTAATTTTTATTGGAGAAATAAAGAGTATTTTAGGAGTGTCAGAGCAAGAAGGGTATTCAGATATTTTAAAGGATCTAAGGATGGATTTGTCAGGGTCATCTCAAATGATGCAAACATAGGCATAAAAGTGTCAGAAACAAGGGCTCCAGGAAGTCCCAACAAGCCTGGAGGCAGAAATAAGAACAGAGGGAAATACTTATGTTTTTCTGTGGGAGTAAGAAAGAAGTAGGGTTTGAGCCAAAGGTGGCTGGGAGTGGAAACAATGGAAAATATATACCTTCATGTTTTTAGAAAAAAAAAAAATAATAAGAGCAGGGACTAGCATGTAGGTAGACTTCCATCCTTCAGAAACTGTACAGGTAATTTTGCTAATTAAAGAGGCTTGAAACTGTGAGGTCAGATAAGAATAAATTCTGCAGGCTTTGGAAAAGGTAGAACCACCTTTGATCTTTGAAGATGCCCCTGGAGACTAGAAAAGAACAGATGTACCCTTAGACTGAGGGCTGGCTTTGGAAATCAGAGCCCAGATGTGAAAAAAAAAAAAAAGGAAAAAAAAAATCAGACAGGTATGATAGACAAAGTTGAAAGCAATTATTAAACTGGTTCCCTTTAAATGAGCTACCTTTAAACAGTCAGAATATTCACTGATTCCTTGATATTGTAGCGATGGGTACCATAAGTGAGTCTTCTTCCCTTTGTCCCCTTTTAACTAACAAATATTTATTTAACGTGGCACATAAAGCCCATTGAAATAGGCTCTAAATTCTGTGTTGACAATCTATGGCAGCAACTGTGGGTTACACAATAGAAATATGGGGAGATAAGCCGGGCGCGGTGGCTCAAGCCTGTAATCCCAGCACTTTGGGAGGCCGAGGCGGGTGGATCACGAGGTCGAGAGATCGAGACCATCCCGGTCAACATAGTGAAACCCCGTCTCTACTAAAAATACAAAAAATTAGCTGGGCATGGTGGCACATGCCTGTAATCCCAGCTACTCGGGAGGCTGAGGCAGGAGAATTGCCTGAACCCAGGAGGCGGAGGTTGTGGTGAGCCGAGATCGCGCCATTGCACTCCAACCTGGGTAACAAGAGCGAAACTCTGTCTCAAAAAAAAAAAAAAAAAAAAAAAAAAAAAAAAAAAAAAAAAAAAAAAAAAAAAAGAAATATGGGGAGATAAGCCATTTATCCAAAAGTATACTGAGTGATAACTAATGCTCACTGTCTACTTTCTGTTTGTTAAATGTTTTATATGTATCACCTTTGTCCCCAGAAATCTCCATGAGCTAGGTACTATGGCAAGTCCCATTTTATAGAAATGGAGGCTGAAAAAATTGTATAGGTTCGCCCAAGTTCATATACCCTGAAAATGCAGAGTTGGGATGCACACCCGAACCTGACTCCAGAGTCAGGGCTCTCACCGCTACTCACTGCACTGGGCACAAAGAATAGACAGGCTTTAGATATGGCTCTCACATATTGCGATACATATTCACTTTGTAGTAGGGAGGAGGATACCATGATGCTCATCGTCCAGATGTGGAAACAGAAGCCAAAGAAAATAACTGATCACTGGTCACTGAGCTACTGAGAGGAAACACTAGGACTCTCACTTGGGGCTTTTTAGTCCAAGCCCAGTGTTCTTTCCTCTATCAGTGGAGGACAGTAGTCTCAAGGTGGTCATCTGCTCAGAAGCCCCTATTTCTTCCATATGAACAACAGGAATAGCTGGAGGGAAACAGGGATCTGAGGTTTCAGTAGGCCCTGAGAGCAATTTGCAGAAGGACTCAAAGAAACCTGATCCATACCTTAGCATTGAATCTCAGGAAAGCAAAGGAAACCACTCACCCCTAGACCTTTAGCCAAAGCTATAGATAGCAACAGATCAACCTCTGGTCCAGGGAAGTAACTTCAGCTGGTGCAGCACATTCTATGAAGCTGGCCCTTTCCTCAATGACAGTAACCAAGTAGACCAACAGGCAGCAGAAAGAAATGGGAAATCCCATGCTGACTCAGCCTGCCAGGCGTGGTGTCTGCACCTCCCCCCTACCCCCAGTTCCCCTGCTGCCTCCCCCACACTCACGGTTCTGGATGGTGATCTTGCGCTGCCGGTAATCTACCCCCAGCACGGGCTCATTCTGCCCCCGCCGCTGTGCCACGATGCGAACTTCCCGCTGGTTGTCGTTGCAGTCATTGGATGGGTCCTGGCCCAGGGATAAAGCTGCCTGATATGCTGAGGAGAGAGGGCATGCTAGAGTCACACAGCAATAGGGGATTCCCACAAAGAAAGGTGCCCTTTCTGCTCTGGGTGAAATGTCTCAATTTTTCCCAAGACTATGCATCCCCCAGGACTCTTGTTAATCATAAAAATTCTTTTTTTTTTTTTTTTTTTTTTTTTTTGAGACGGAGTTTCGCTCTTGTTACCCAGGCTGGAGTGCAATGGCGCGATCTCGGCTCACCGCAACCTCCGCCTCCTGGGCTCAGGCAATTCTCCTGCCTCAGCCTCCTAAGTAGCTGGGATTACAGGCACGCGCCACCACGCCCAGCTAGTTTTTTGTATTTTTAGTAGAGACGGGGTTTCACCATGTTGACCAGGATGGTCTCGATCTCTCGACCTCGTGATCCACCTGCCTCGGCCTCCCAAAGTGCTGGGATTACAGGCTTGAGCCACCGCGCCCGGCCTAATCATAAAAATTCTGATTCTGGAGGTTTAGAGTGGGATCAGAGATTCTCATTTCTAATATGCTCCCTGGTGTACCAGGTACCACACTTTGAGCAACCAGACTCCTGACCCCCTAAACAGGCCATCATTTGCCAGCTGTATCCCCATCTCCTGCTCCAACTTCCTTTTTCTCATTTTCAAAGTCACCCCAGCCTCTCTCTGCTCCAATGGGATTCATCCAACTGCCCTTAAAATAAAAGGCCTGAGAGCTGTTAAATCTGCCCCTGGCAAATGCCTGCTTCCCTAGCCTCTCCTCCCTGGCCACTCAACCCAGCCATTTTAAGAGTAAACCCCAGGAAACATGCCTCAATTTAGAAAGGAGTCCTTTGGGGACAATGTCAGGCTCATTGGGTGGCTCAGACAGCTCTTGATCATATTGTGAGACATTAGCTCAAATCATATTGTGAGACATTAGCTCAAATCATATTGTGAGACATTAGCTCAAGGGCTCAAAAAGGTAAAGACCAATGCCTTCCTCTCCCTTGGCTTCTTCTCAGGAAGCTTACTTCTTCCTACAAACAGGGTGTCTGCTTCTATTCTCAAAATGTCCAAAAGGTTAACTGTCTTGGTGCTGACAGTGGGGTGGTTCTGGGTTCCTTTGTTCTTTGAGAGAGGGCAGAAATGGACAACTAGGAAAGAGCTCTGATCCAGACAGCACAACCCACATGCCTGGAGCAGTTGTTACTGAGAGGCAGGACCGGCCAACTCTAAGCAGGCGTTGTGCAGCACGAAGAGACTTCCCACAGTGAAGGGGCAGTCTGCAGGGAACTAGGGGGCTCCGTCAGCAGAGGAATGACCATCTCTCTGAAGGCAGACTGAAGAAGGGAATGTAGCAAGGAGCAAGAGGCTTCACAAATGACCATTGGTCATTTGTGCTGAGTATAGTCTTCTTGTCTGCATTCTAAAGTGGAGGAGGTGACGGGAGGCGGGCCTGCATCATCAGCTCAGTACACTGGCGTGGAACCAGGAACGGACTGGGAGGCAGGACTTTCACCTAATGTCTGAGTTTCCTTAAATCTTTTTAGAACAAAGCAGGACAAAAATTTTAAAATAAACTAGTGTGTAACCTTGAATACATTATCTCACCTACCTGGGCTCCGTTTGTTTGTCTGTAAAACAGAGGAACTGCATTAGGTGATCTTTGCTGCTTCTCCTCACTACAAAGATTTGTGATCCTAAATAATCCCTAAACTCTAACCACAGTGGATCATAGAGGTGTCTGGGACCCACAGAGGGCCAAGGGGGTGAGGATACTCACACGCTGAGTAGTAGTCAAAGATAGGGTCCTTGCAGAAGGACTTGAAGCGCCATGTCACCACCACATCCTGGAGCTGGGCAGAGGTGGTGTAGTCACATTTGAGGACGACAGAGGCAAACAGGGTAACATAGCGTTCTGTGTGCTGGACCGTCACAAGCAAGGACAGGCACCCTAAAGCCAAGAGCAGGAGACAATGCTGAAGGTGACCCACATCAGTTCATGGATAAGAAAAGCAATGCAGATGAGTAAAACACACTGCTTGCCCTCCTGCCTGACCCGGGCTGGGAGCTCACAGGCAAAGTCTGGTTTCTTACTCCCCTGGGAAGGCTATGGGTGGGGTGGGGTAGAGAATGTGCTCAGCAGCCTCAGCGGGGCATAGGAAGAACGGAGTGAGGAAAACTCCCAGGAACTCACAGTGTATTAACAGTGATGACACGTCCCACTATTTCAATACCATTCGATGAAAGAATTGTATCGAAATAAGGCCACATTTGTACTGGAGTAACACTGCTCATATATATATTTTTTCTTCACCTCATGTCTCTTCTTTTTTTTTTTGAGACAGAGTTTCACTCTTGTTACCCAGGCTGGAGTGCAATGGCGTGATCTCGGCTCACCGCAACCTCCGCCTCCTGGGTTCAGGCAATTCTCCTGCCTCAGCCTCCTGAGTAGCTGGGATTACAGGCACACGCCACCATGCCCAGCTAATTTTTTTTTGTATTTTTAGTAGAGACGGGGTTTCACCATGTTGACCAGGATGGTCTTGATCTCTCGACCTCGTGATCCACACGCCTTGGCCTCCCAAAGTGCTGGGATTACAGGCTTGAGCCACCGCGCCCAGCCTCATGTCTCTTCTTAAAATGGTTTCCCATTTCCTAAGGATAAATGTCAAGCTCCATGACCAGGCCTACAAAGCCCGTTAGGTCTGCCTGCTGCCCATCTCGTCTGCCCCATGTCCCTTCACGCCCCATCTCCCACCCAAGGTATTAGCCATTCTGAACTTGCTTCAGTCCTTCCCATGCTAAGACCATTCTCTTCTCTAGGTGTGGCTCTCTCAGTCTGGAGTATTCTTCCATATTACCTGCCACTGCTCCATTCTCTTCCCTGGGCTAATTATGATTCACTGCAACTTCTACCTCCTGGATTCATGAGATTCTCTTGCCTCAGCCTCCTGAGTAGCTAGGATCACAGGCACCTACCACCATGCCCGGCTAATTTTTGTATTTTTAGTGTAGACAGGGTTTCACCATGTTGGCCAGGCTGGTCTTGAACTCCTAACCTTAAATGATCCACCTGCCTTGGCCTCCCAAAGTGCTGGAATTTCAGGCGTGAGCTACCGCACCTGGTCTGAACCACCATATCTGGCCTTCTTCTTCTTCTTTTTTTTTTTTTGAGATACAGTCTTGCTCTATTGGCCATGCTAGAGAGCTGAGGCACAATCACGGCTCACTGCAACCTTGACCTCCTGGGTTCAAGTTATCCTCCCACCTCAGCTTCCCAAGTAGCTGGGACTACAGGCATGCATCACCATGCCTAACTTTTGAAATTTTTAGTAGAGATGAAATCTCACTATGTTGCTTAGGCTGGTCTTGAACTCCTAACCACAAGCAATCCTCCAGCCTCAGCCTCCCGATGTGCTGGAGTTACAGGCGTGAGCCACCGCACCCAGCGATAGACTTAAATTTTGAAAAAAATTCCAGGAGATGCTGATTCTACTGCTCTGAGGACCTACTTTGAGAACCATTGGTGTAGACTCCATTTAAAACACACACACACACACACACACACACACACACACACACACACACGCTTTAGGCTCAGATATAGCTTGGTTCAAATTAAACTTTAATACTTATTTGAACTTTGGACAAGTTATTTACTCTCTCTGAGCTTGTTTCTGAGCCACGAATGGAGATGACCATAGTGCTAGCCTCATCAGCTCCTTGCAAGAATGCAGTGAGATAATCCACTTCTGGTTCTTGGCATGAAGCCTGGTACATACACTGCCACGTTAGTGCTGGTGTTTGAGTCTCTTCCCTTTTTCCCCTTATTACAAGGGCCAAGGAGAAAAAGGCTGGAGTTGGGGTTTTCTCTGACAGAGTTTTCAAGTGGAGCCACCTTCATTTTGACTGAGTTTCTCCCACAAACAAAACAAATATAGTCATTATCTTACAGAGCAGTTGGTGGGCCTGTCTCGAAGGCTAGAATCACATGATTCTTGGGTCCTGCCTGACCTACTGGTCACAGCCCTTATAAGACTGTCCTCTTAAACTTCTGATGAGCACCTGCATCTGGGTTCCTCATCCATAGACAGACAGCTGAATGCTGTTCAGGACAGGCACTCACAGAAATGACCTGGTGACCTATTTCCAGGACTGGGCTGTGATGCAGATGCCCCATGACATGTGCTTGATAGAGGCTCTGCAGCAGTGCAGGGGAGAGCAGTGGGCAGGAAGACATCATGAAAGGAAGAGATTTAACCTAGGCTCCAAGAAGCAGGTAGTATTAAGATTACACATGAGAAGTAGGAAGAAGGCAGAGAAACGCACTGTTTCAGTAATCAAGAAAGGAGGGAGCAAAGAGCCTTATCAGGAAGGGGCAGTTACCTGGGCAACCTGGAGGAAACCAATCTAGCTCTGTCTCCAGCTTTGTGGAAGACAAGGAGACAAATACGGCAGGGCTGGTGGTGGTGAATGGGAAGTGGGTGATGGGGTGAAGTCTAAATCACATTCCAGTGTCAATTTCTTGTCTATGGATCATCACTGAAGTCTTTTCTGAAGAACAGTAATAGAGTGAAAGTGGTGTTTCTAGGAATATGGATGACTTACCCACTCAACTGTAAATGAAAAAATATCATTTTAAAATAAACTTTGAGTAGTTTTGGGGAAAACAGCTGCTGCCTTCATAAGCTGTAGATTCCCAGAAATCAGGCCAATTAGAATGGAAGGGCCAGTGACCAATATCTCAAGTCTAACCTGGATTATTTCTTAATCTAATTTGTGGTTCTTGTTCCTCCTCTCTGACCACCCCTTTGTTTTTTGTTTTTGTTTGTTTTTCTTCCAGAACTGACCTGAAATAGACCTTGGAGATCTCACCAACCACAGTTTTATCTGAACAGTAGAAACAGCCATAGGTAAGATTTTCACAATGAATAGAATGCCATTGTCAACACTGGCTTATTTTGTTACATAACACACGTACTGATGAGAAGAAAGAGGAAAACACTGATTTGTAGTCTAAATAAAATCTTAGGTTCAACAGCGTCTTAAAATATATACTATATGTGATTCCTGGGAGAAGATTAGCTGTGTTCACTTCCTATATAACAAATCTGAGGCTTAGAAATTTAAGTGACTTGTCTGTGGCCATTTATTTTCTAAGGCGGTCAGAGTCGAGATTCTGTTCCTGAGCAGTGTTCTTGCCTCAGCTTGGCTATTCTTTAAATAAAAGATAGTTGGTATTCAAAAGTTTGCAAATAATTGGAGCTGGGGGCCAGGCTATAATTAAATATAATCGGTGCAGTCACTCTGACACAGTGAAATAAAGAACATGTAGGCTCTTTATTTGCCTAAATGATAATTTGACACAGCCATTTATTCAACACTCTAGTCATCATTATTTGTATAGAGGTAGAGCTTTTGGGAGCGGGGAGGCCAGGTTTGCTGGGGGTCAGAAAAGGGAATTTGGTTTGAGCCAGAGGTCGCTATGGGGTAGCTTTGAAGATTGCAGAATCTGACACCTTTGAGGCGGGGAAATGGAGAGAAAGATGATCACTCAGCTCCCCTTCCCTGAATGCCTTCATTGTGGGCAAACCACAGCTGGGGTGACACAACTCGCCTTTACCAGCGTCAGCACTGACTTTGCTGCTTGGGTACTCTTTTACCTTCTCTTCCATTTCATCCCTGTGTGAATAGCAAGCCTTGATATCTGCCAGGTTTGACAAGTTCTGGCCATCTTGAGCTCACTCACACTTTCTCCAGGGGTCTGCCAGCCCCACAGCATCCTGCACAGACCTCAAACCTCCACTCCCTGCCCTGTCTCTCTTTCTCTCTCTCTCTCACACACACACACACACACACACACACACACACACACAGAAAGAGTTCTGGGAGAAGAGGTACTGAACAACCCAGCAAACTCTTCTCCCATCTTAGTTGTTACTGCTGGTCCTCAGCATCTATTATGTATCAGTTGATGTATATTCTTTGTCTCTAATTCTCACAAACTCCCTCAGCTGGGCAACAGCCCTGCTCATATATGTGGACAAAAGTTCAGAGTATAAGCTACACCCCCATGGGCTCAACATCACATACCTAAAAAGTGTCAGCGTCAGAATTTGAGCTTGGGGCTTGCTGACACCAAATCCCAACTTTTCCCAAGCAGGCAAGCGTGATCTTCCAAAGTAGAAGTGAGGCACCAGGCTTTTAAAAAGTAGGTGGATTTTCCAGATTGGGAGGGAAAGAAAGGCAGTAGCAGAACAGCCCATCTCAAAGGGAAAAATCCCCCCCACTTTCTTTTCCTATATCCTCTAATTTCCCTGTGAACCTAACCACACTGGGCATGGGCATGCACAGAACTAAAAAGGTAGAGTTTTCAAGGAGGGACCCAAAGCAGCAGAATCAGACTGAAAATATGAACAGGATCAAAAAGAGAAATTCCCTGATTATAGTCATCCTGGTTGCAACTTTGCTCTTTCAAGCTTACCACAAGCTTTCGAATTCTTAAAATTTTTTCTATTCTTAAATTTTCTTTATCCTGTGGTATTTTCTCCTCCCCTGTTCATTGACTCCTAATTTCTTAGCCGTCTCTATCATTTTCTCTTAAAAACGTTAATTCTGGAGCCTGACGCCCTGGGCTCAGATTCTGTCTCCACTCCCTACCAGCTGATTGGTAATGTGATATAAGTAGCAGTTTATTCTCTGCACTCTTAGAACTTGTGCTCCTGGTAGGAGATTCAATGACGAACAGGAAAACACAGACAAAGTAGTTCCTGTCATGGATGAGTTTTACATTATTAATCAGAAACACTGAATTATTATTACATTATTAATCAGGAGCACTGAATATTAAATCTTACTCCTGTACAATAAGGGACTAAAACAGACACATGTATCCAACACTCTAGTCAACATTAGTTGCTGGGAGTCAAAAAAGGGAATTGGGTTAGTCAG